GATCAAAGCCTGATGTAAGCTGTGGCCATAACACAAGAGGGCTGGGCACAGCTATCCTCGAATAGCAGTTCACTCAGGTAAGGCTGAAGATAGCCCAGACCACGGAAGTGAGCCATCTACTTAAAACCCCGAAGGGGAGACAGCACAGTCCATGCAAGGGGCTCACGGAGACCACTATTTAAAAACCCTAAAGAGGAGAGCTGTCTCCAAGCTGGAACGCTCACGGAGACCACTATTTAAAAACCCTAAAAAGGGGAGCAGTCTCCGAGCTGGAACACAGCTATCCTCAAATAGCAGATTCCTAGACAAAGACTTCAGCGCTTAATCGAGAGAACTTGTGCCAAGGGGAACACAACCTAGTTAAGAAGACAGGCTACAACATAGCTGCCCCCAGGCCACCATATTCCAGAGCAAATTAAGCTTGAGCTGGAGCATAACCACCCGCAGACGGCTACACGCCGGCTTAACACCGGAAGAGACATTCCCCATAACCACTCTAGGGGCTGAAAACCCTGGGAGAGAAAGCTCGCAAGCCTCTCTCCACAGAGTATTTAAATATATTCACGCCCAGCGAGGCTCTCCATAAACAAAAACATGCACATTAGAGAGCTGAATATAGCCGAGCTGAATATAGCTCCACCCACGATCTCGCAGGATCAGGGCTGAAACTACTCCGTGCTAACACTTCATCGTCATAACAACCCAAAGTGTCTGTGACATCCGACAACCCGTTTAGCGAGGGTGTGCAAATCCCCCAGATCAAAGCGATGCCGTGAGGAGAGAAAAACTGTGCCGTGGCAACGACGGAACCGTGCCGCAAGACAAACGCTTTGTTCCACATCCCTCGGGAATCAGAACAAACGTGAGTGGAGCCTAGACACTGTGACTCATCACGCTCTTCGCGGAGACAACACGAAAGCAGAACATGCCCTCGAGTGTTAGAATCCAAACAAGGAGGCACACAGTCCTCAAACCGTGATTGTGCCTGTATCTGTTCAATGCATGGAAAATAACCAATGTTTTGTTCTTTCTCCTCATAGGACTTGTTCCGCTCCACCATGAAACCAGTGCAGAAGGTTCTGGAAGACTCTGACCTGAAGAAGACTGACATTGACGAGATCGTCCTGGTCGGTGGCTCCACTCGTATTCCCAAGATCCAGCAGCTGGTGAAGGAGCTCTTCAACGGCAAGGAGCCGTCCAGAGGAATCAACCCAGACGAGGCTGTGGCTTACGGAGCTGCCGTCCAGGCTGGAGTCCTGTCTGGAGAAGAGGACACCGGTGAGTCCCTCTACAAACTGTATAATCTGGGCTGTATAATCACACCCAGTCTCTTGCGAGATGATTAATGACTGAAATGTGTTGAACAGGAGACCTGGTGCTTCTGGACGTTTGCCCTTTGACCCTGGGCATTGAGACGGTCGGAGGAGTGATGACCAAACTCATTCCCAGGAACACCGTTGTGCCCACCAAAAAATCCCAGATCTTCTCCACCGCTTCTGACAACCAGCCAACCGTGACCATCAAAGTTTATGAAGGTGAGTGACGCTTTCAGGTTCCAAACATCTTACTGAATTACATTAACTGAATACAAATGGGGTCATAAATGTCAGTTTATATGAAAGAGTTTTAATGTTTTAGATTCAAAGATAACCTTTCAAAAGCTTCTTTTCTCCATATTTCTCTATATTTTAAGACCTTTTCAGTTGAAAATAGCCATGGTAACTGGCATGGTGTTCAATTATAAACATGCATACTTTTTTTTTATTTATTTTTATTTTTATTTTTTTTTTTTTTTTAGTTTTTTTAAATCTAGTTATTTAAATTTAATTTTTTTTTTTTTAGATGAATTATTTTTTTTTTTTGACATGGAAAAATTAAAAATTAAAGCTACTGGGAAAATGTAGAAAAATATGATGGCCCTATTTTGTTCCTTTTTTTTTTTTTATTCAAGATAAGCTTGCTTTACCAATTTTACTGCATTTCTTTCCAGGTGAGCGTCCGCTGACCAAAGATAACCACCTCCTGGGCACCTTTGACCTGACCGGCATCCCTCCGGCTCCCCGCGGCGTCCCTCAGATCGAGGTCACCTTCGAGATCGACGTCAACGGCATCCTGCGTGTCACCGCCGAGGACAAGGGCACAGGCAACAAGAACAAGATCACCATCACCAACGACCAGAACCGGCTGACCCCCGAGGACATCGAGCGCATAG